ACTGTTCCCTTCATCCCAGTCCCCACACTTATTGCCCTCCCCCTGCCCTCCCAGGCACCCTCCCTGTGGTTGATAGAGGTCCTTACATGTGCTCAAGTCTGTAAAATATGTAATGTTGTGTGTGTGTTCATTTACATAAATAGCATAGTGCTATAAACTTCTGTTTCTTTTTCCACTCGGCACCATGTTTTTAAGATCTAAATGTGTTGCTAAACCTACATCTAGTCCCTTGCTTCTAATTCCTGTACAACCTCCAGGCATCCGCCATCTGCATCGCTTGTTCATTTCCCCCCGCGAGGGACACTGGGAGACCTCCTAGCACCAAAGCAACACAAGCTGCACATTCTTGTGCCTTGTTCCTCGCTTAGATATGAGTCCCCAGAAGCAGATGCTGAGTCAACTATTTGAGTGTAAATAATATATTACAGACAACGTCTATCACAACCCCTATGGACCCAGGTCTGGGCAATATACCAAAGAGTGGGTTTCCTGCGTCATAAGGTACATTCCCCTCAGTACCCCTGATGGCTTTCCCAGAGGCTATACCAGACTGCGCTCCCTCCAGCAACGGGCTCTGGGGATCAGACAATGCTGGGTTCCAGTCCTGCTTGATCAGGTCAAGAAAGGAGTCACAGTTGGCTGGTGGAGGGGGAGGACGACAAACCTCCCTCATAGCTAGTAATAATACAGCAGGCCCACTGAGTGTCCACAGGGTGTCAGGCATTGGGCCAAGCACATCACCTGTGAAATCTGCTTTAGTCCTCAGCATAACTCAGGGAGGTTGGAGCAACTCATATTCCCATTTTACAGAGAAGGAAACTGCATCTCAGAGGCAGGACATGACTTTTCCAAAGTCACAGAGTGACTGGGCTTGAACCCAGATGTTCAGACTTCAGAGCTAGTGGGCTCTTGTGCTTCCCCGTCTTGGGGTAGTCAGCAAGTTGCCCCCCAAGCTGGAGTCTAACCAGCTTTTTCTCAACATCCCCTGTATCTGTCTCCTATTGCTGCTGTAACAGATCACCACAAACTGAGTGGTTTAAAACAACAGGAACTTCACAGCATTGTAAATCAACTATACTCCCCCCCCAAAATTAATAATTTAAAAAGCCACAAACTTACTACCTCATGCTTCTGGAGAAGAGAGGTCTCAAGTGGGCGTTACAGGACTAAAATAAAGGTGTGGGCAGGCTGCGTTCCTTTCTGGAGGGTCTAGGGGAGAGTCCATTCTTTGCCTGTGTTGGCTTCCAGAGGCTGCCTGCTTTCCTTGGCCCACGGCCCCTTCCATCTTCAAAGCCAGCATTGGGCAGTAGGGTCTTTCTCGCAGCGTTGCGTCACTCTGATGCACCCTCCTACCTCCCTCTGCCATCTTTTAAGGACTCTTGTGGTTGCATGGAGGCCCCAGAGTATCCAGGAAAATCTTCCCACCTCAGAGGAAACTGATTAGCAACCTTATTTCCATCCGTAAGCTTGATTCCTGCTTGCCACATAATCTAACATATTCAGGGGTTCTAGGGGTTCGGATAAGAACATGGACATCTTTTGGGTGGGGCAGGGTGGGGATTGGGGGGATTATTCTGTCTACCATAGCCCCCCTAGTGGTGTCTACCCACACTGACCACTCGGGCCTGGGGTGGAGTGCAGCTTCAGCAGGGAAGTGGGTGCTGGGCGGCGGGCACTGAGCACAGGGAATGCCGGCTTCTGCGCTTCACTATATCTCTGCTAGCCTGGCCCTCCTGCCCACCACAGCCCAGCCAGGTCAAAGCTACCAGCTAATACCATCCCCTCCCCGACCACACACGATCATCAGGTCAGCTTTGGTGGTCTGACACCACCCATCCATCCATGTGGGAGGCCCCCATCCCTGCTCTCTCTCCCTGATTTGCCCACACCCTCTCCTGTCCATCATCCCACAGCCAGGAAAGGCTGCCTCTAACTCAGGCCTCATCACAGCACCACCTATCGGTCACCTGGGTGAATGGCACCACTGGAATCATCCTGCAGCCTAGTCTTTCCCCCTCACCACACTCCAGTCCTGCAGCAGGTCCTGTCAGCTCTTCCACCAAAGTCCACCCCAAATCCATCCAATTCTGCAGACCCCTCCACTGATCCAAACCTTGATGGTCTCTTTCCATAATGACTACAGGGGCTTTCAGCCTGCTGTCCCCAACCCAGCCTGAATCTTCTCCTGAGGATGCCTCGCCTCGCCCACGAGGAATAAACCCCAGCTCCGTCTGATGCCTGCCGACGCCCCCACACACATCTTCTCCTACCTTCCCCTTACTCACTCTGCCCAGCCACTCGGGCTTCACTTTGGTCTTTGACCATCCAAGCCCATCCCCAGGTCGGGGAGCAGGCTCTTCCCATTCCCACCACCTGAGACACCCTCCCCCAGGTCCTCCCAGGGCTGGCTCTGCCCCCAGGGTCCCCTCCTCCGAGAAGCCCTCCTGGGTTAGCCCTCCAGCTAACATTGACCCCCAGAGGCCCTTTGGCCCTCTGCATACAAGCAGCCTGAACGAAGCATGCTTTTTCTCTCCTCTCCATACTAACAAGTCTCTGAGACAGGAAAACTTTCCACACAGGAGGCTGAGGCTTTAACTCACAATTGACATGGGTCATGAGAGAAAAAAAATGAGGAATCGTTAATTGGGGGAGCTTTCTGCTGGAGGGAAATCGTGGAGGGTTGAAAGAAGAAATTCTGCAAGAAGAGAAGTGATTACAGATGTGGGGTTTCACAAGAGCTCTCCAGGGCTTGCAGGATGAGAGGAATATTCCTTTACCTTCATCACTATTCTTGCCAAACAGAATGTCGCTTTCCCACTTGTCCTTGGTGGCAAAGATAAAGCAGCAGATCTGAAAAGCGGTCCCACTTAAAAGCGATCTTTCCCCTTCAAGGGATTCTGGCAGGCTTTGCCTGAGGAGATGAGTTCCAATTTTAGGTGAAGTTAAAAACACTCAACTCTTTAAAATCAAATCATTTTTTTCAAACACGGGTGTACCCTAGTTTTCCAAAACCTGATCGGTGAAACTATAGCTTGCCCCAAAGGTAAGTGAGTGGAGTGATGATTTGCTTTTGTGAAAGAATTTGTTAGGAAGGCGCCCCTTTCAGATGTGGAAACCACCGTGGCTCCAGTTAAGCATTGCTTCTCATCCATGCAGGGCTGCGTGTATGTGTGTGTGTACCCACGTGTGTTTCCCCTGAACATGTCCATAGCACAGATGGACACTCAAGTATCGGAAATAGGTTTCCATTTGTAATTGATAGGCTTTGCTGGTACCACTTGCATCCATGGGGAATTGAGCTGGGCAGAGGAATGGTGATTTTTAAAAGCAAAGTATTAGACTCTTAATACTTTTCCCTGGATCAGCTGAATTCTGGAGAGCTCTGTTGCTGTCATGTAGGGGTCTCAAACTCAAATGCCTACAGGGGCCAGGAAGGAAACATACATGAGAGAAGTAAAGTGGGTGTTAGGAAGACAATAGGGAGGGGTAGGGACTGTGGTGTATTGTAGCGTTCATGCCCTGCCTAAAGGGGGCAGTCATTTCTCAGCTGGAATTTGGGCCAAACATTAGCAGATAGTCTGATTTTTCAAAAGAAACCAAGATACACGAATTTTTACAGGAAATGTCTCCATTTTCAAAATCTTCTCCAAGCCAGGCAAAATATTTGTGAACCAAATGCAGCCCATGAGCTATGAATGAATAAGCGATCTCATTCTAGTGGCACAAACCCTTAGCTTTGAGGGTTGGGAAGGAAGAAGTCTATAGAAGCTTGAGATTTTGACCTCAGTTTCTCAGAAGTGCCCTCATCGTGTTGGCCTCACCAACAGGAAACGTAATCATTTGTTAAGCATTTCTTGGAGCTTTTACACTACTGGGCACAGGGATTCAGAGACGAGTAAAGCACACTCTTCCCCCAGGGAGCAAGCAGTCTACTAAAGGAGCCAGGCTTGCACACAGATCATTCGAAAACAGGTGACAAGTGCAGTGAAGATAAATGGCGGGGGGGCGGGGGGGGCGCTGACGTTCGATTTGGCTGGAAGAGCCAAGGAGGGCTTTCTGGAGGAGGGAGCATATGCCTGTCCAGTTCATTCCTGTGTCCTCAAGGTGATGTTTACTGATATATGAGCAAACATGGCACCGTTCTGATAACTGTGCATTTTTTTTGGACATTGACCCTGATTTAGGGCAAGTGATATCAGTTTTCCATGTATGGAAGGAATACAAGGTGTCCGTTTGAGTTAAATACTAATAATAGTAGACAGTGGGAGTTCTCTGGTGGCCTACTGGTTAGGATTCCAGGCTTTCACTGCCATGGCCCGGGTTCAATCCCTGGTTAGGGAGCTGAGATCCTGCAAGCCACATTGTATGGCCAAAAAATAAATAAAATAAATAATTTTTAAAATAATAGTAGGAAGCAAGTATTGAGTACCTACCATGTCCCAGGCACTGTATTAAGTGGTCTTAGACAGTACATAATTCATTGAATCCTCTCAGTAATACTGTGAAGTAGATCATATGGTCATACCCATTTTACAGATGAGGAATTGAAACACACTGAGGTCGAGTAACTTGCCCAGGCCACGTGGCTCCAAAATCTATGCTTGTAACCACAACAGCAGACAGACATTTATAACTCACAGTTCTGGAGGCTGGGAGTCTGAGATCAGGGTGCCAGCATGGTCGGGTTCTGATGGGGGCTCTCTTCCTGACTTACAGGTGGCTACCTTCTCACTGTGCCCTCACATGGGACCTCTAGTGTCTCTTCCTCTACTTATAAGGGCACTAATCCCACCACGGGGGCTCCACCCTCATGACTTCATCTAAACCTAATCACCTCCCCAAAGGCCCCACCTCCTAATACCAACCCATTGGAGGTTAGGGCTTCCCCCTGTGAATTTGGGGGAACACAATTCAGTCCATATCAGCAAATATCTGCAGAATCAGCATCATCCACGGAGACTCAGGAGTCACTGTGGGTCTTTCCTCCCCTCTCCCCCCAGGCCCGAGAGGGATGTGAAGGCCCAAAATGACCCTCTTACCGGGAGACAATTCTGATTACGACTACAGCGCGCTGAGCTGCGCCTCCGACGCCTCCTTCCACCCGGCCTTCTTCCCCCAAAGCCAGTCACTCAAGGGCGTCTTTTACCGCCGAGCCCAGCGGCTGCGGCCACAAGACGAGCCCCGCCAGGGCGGCCAGCCAGAGGACCGCAGGCGCCAGATCATCATCAACGTGGGCGGCATCAAGTACTCGCTGCCCTGGACCACGCTGGAGGAGTTCCCGCTAACGCGGCTGGGCCAGCTCAAGGCCTGCACCAACTTCGACGACATCCTCAACGTGTGCGATGACTACGACGTCACCTGCAACGAGTTCTTCTTCGACCGCAACCCGGGGGCCTTCGGCACCATCCTGACCTTCCTGAGGGCCGGCAAGCTGCGGCTGCTGCGGGAGATGTGCGCCCTGTCCTTCCAGGAGGAGCTGCTCTACTGGGGCATCGCCGAGGACCACCTGGACGGCTGCTGTAAGCGCCGCTACCTGCAGAAGATCGAGGAGTTCGCCGAGATGGTGGAGCGGGAGGATGAGGACGACCCGCTGGACAGCGAGGACCACGACGGCGAGGGCCCCACGGAGGGCGAGGGCCGCCTGGGCCGCTGCATGCGGAGACTGCGCGACATGGTAGAGAGGCCGCACTCAGGGCTGCCCGGCAAGGTGTTCGCCTGCCTGTCGGTGCTCTTTGTCACCGTCACCGCCGTCAACCTCTCCATCAGCACGTTACCCAGCCTGAGGGAGGAGGAGGAGAAGGTAAGAGCCCAGGACCGCTCCCCTCCCAGAAGTGCACAGCCTCCTCACCTGCACTGTCACCTCCTCCAGGAGGTCTTCCCTGAGTGCACTGGCTGAGCAGCACCCCAGTCCACCATTGTGCTTACATCTGTTTATAAGTGTGTTTACATGTGTGTTGCCCGTCTCCACGTTCAAACACAAGCTCCATGCCTGCGCAGGTCTGTGCTGTGCCCTGGCCCCCTCCCCGCAACGTTGTCCAGCAGGGAGGAGGCACTCAGCCACTCTCTGTTGGATGGATGGATGGATGATGTGATTTATGATGTACCTGGCCCCAAGCTAAGCACATGACATATACCATCAAATTTTATTTCACCAACTTGCATCCTTTCTCAGCCTTCCTAATTCCCTTGCATGAAAATATCCCAGAAAGCTTTTTTGGGTCCTGAATATGAGTTTTATCGATAGGTGTGTGTGTGTGCACATGACCTCAAATAGCGAGCATTTCTTTCTGTTAAATAAGAGAATTCCCATAAAGTGCTTACTCCAGGGCCTGACGGGGTGTGTGTCCAATTCTCAGGGATACCTCTCACTTAGCCAGCAGTTACTAGGAGCCAAGGCCTGGGCTGCCACTCTGCCTGCATCTTATCTTCTCAGTGAATCTTCCAGCATCCTGGTATGGGAGGTGTTCTCACACCCACTTGACAGCTGAGAACACTGAGGCAAAGCAGCTTGCCCAGACCCAGGTCTGACTGAGTCCCTAGTCTGGTTCTTAAACGTGGAAGTATGGGTGCCACATGGCAGCCTGAGACCTCATCCAGCCCCACAGTTCAGCCTCCTTATGTATGAGACCCTCAGCCTTTGATTTGGGACCCTTTCCCCATACATAGGGGTTCTGGAAGCAAGTCTCAAGACAGACCAAAAGGTTCAGATGGTGCAAATTGTGTAGGCATTGGAGAAATAGGTAGTATGGCGGTAGGAACTCAACATAAATATCATGCCAGCCAGTATTTATTGAGCACTGGCTGTGTACCCTGCATGTGCTAGGGGCTTTACATGAACTCTCTGATCAAACATTAGAACCACTCACCACGTGAGGGTTTTCCCACACACATATATTATGGAAAAAGTAGCAATAGTCTTGCATTTATAACTCGCAGGGAGTTTCTGGCACTTCTTTTTTAAATACGCTGAATTTTAAAAACCAGTGTTAAGAAAACAGCACTCAACCAGTAAAATGAACTTTTGAGAGGCATAAGGGGTAGTGATGAAGGGGGCAGGGCTAGAGCCAGACAGCCTGAATTTGAATCCCACTTCGTCCACTCTGGCTGTGTAACTGTTGGCAAGTTACTTAACCTCTCTGGGCCTCAGTTTCC